CCCACCGCACAGTGGGGCTGGAGCACACAAAATCTACTAGCCTGGCTCCCCTAGGCTCTGGTGTATGACGGGAATGTGGGGGTTTCTTTCTCCTCCACAGTTGAGGGCCTTGTCCATGATGGTTGTGAGGGGGAGGGGGAGTTGTTTGTTTGGTTTTGGTTTTGCTTCTCACTTACCTGTGGCTCCTGCCCGAAAAAAGGTTCCCCACCCCTGCTCTGAGTTTTTACCATTATATTTATTTAATAATCATAAAAAATGTAGATTTCAGCAGTTTATAATATGAGTTGATTTTGTGTGTACTGTAACTGTATTTCATTGAGATCTGGCTTTATTTTACTTGATACCAGCATCCTTTTCATAGTATCAATTTTGGTTTGGTCCCTGCTCTATTAATAAGGAGGTTAATTGATATTAGAGAAAAAATTCATGATCAGTTTTGTGCAGAGCTGAAATGTGGAGTTAACAGCCATTTCAGTTACCAAGTTTGGATCTGACATTTATTGGAGCAGAGTCTCCATGCTGAGATAAAGATGTAGAATAAAGGTGCATATATCAATGGCTCTCATTTCCACAAATTAGGGGTGTCAAGTGTACAACAGTTTCACTTTTGTGATATCTGACTTTTAAACAAAGATGGTTGTTAAAAAACAAACAAACATAAATTGTCACCTAGCCCAGACTGAAGCTTGATCTACAACAAGGGATTGTTGAACTGACTGAAAATTGATCTGAGGATCATATGCACAGGAGCTCTGTGCAATGAGATGTAAATTTTTCAGTAAGTGATGACAAATTAAGAGTAAGAGAGGAACAAGTCCAAGGGAAACCAGTTAAATATATTATATGCCTGGATGCCAGGATGCGCCTGGATGCACCAGGCCAGCAATACCACCTCATAGTAAGTGTCCATGGCCATTCTGTCTAATGGCTATCATCCACAGTGGCATTTCCCATGGATGAGGGTCAAGGGCCGCTGTGCCTGGTTGACATAATCTCTGGGAGTGGAAGGAAGGGCAACCTAGGTCCATCCTACTCTACCAGATTCCAACCCAGTAGGCCATATGTGTGTCCTTGGTTTTTTACCATTATGCACGCTCCCTGGGTCATTTCCCGTTTCCTGTATCTCTGAGGAAATGACCCAGGCTCTGTCTTATGATCCCTCCCAGCTTTCTTACAGGTTCATCTCAGGAGCCTCTTCCCCTGGTAACATCAAGTTTCTGCCCTCAGCTCCTGCATACAATGGGCCTCTGGCATCTTAGCTAGGAGGTTAGTCCTAGCAGCTTGCATTGTCTAAGATAAAGAGTGATTGTGTTAGTACACTGACTTTGTAAAGGTTTCTATGTCCTTCAACTGAGACATGCCCCAAAATAGGTGAACTGTAAACCTGAGTGCCCAAGCACTTGGAATGCTAGAAAAGGGTCCTCTTAATCTACTGAGGAGTCGCCCCTTTTGGGGATCAACACAAGTCCTAGGATCTAAAGCAACTGATGAAAATCAATGCCGCTTGATTTTAGGGTTGCCAGGTGTATGGTATTTTCACCTCCTGTCCGATTTAAAAAAAAAAAAAAAGTCAGAAAATACCAGATCCCTAAAATGTCCGGTATTTTCTGATTTTTTTTTTCCCCGGCCAGGAAGAAAAAATACCGGACACCTGGCAACCCTACAACACACTCAGCAACCGGGCCCAGCCCTCCCCTACCAGGCCCTCATCCCCTTCTCCCCGCCCCCCCACTTACCTGGTTCCGCAGGGGAGCTGTCTTGTGGCTGGAGTAGAAAAACAAGATGACCACCGGCAAAAAAAAAAGCCTCTTCTTAAAGGGGCCATGCTGTTTTCTTTTCTTTTCTTTTTTACTTCCAAGAACTCTTATTTTTCTTTTCTTTTCTTTTCTTTTTTCCTTCCAACAACTCTTACTTGAAAACATCTCTTGTCTCATTTCTTTCTCTTTCTATTATTTATACTTTAACTGTATCATTTCTCTCTCCCTTGTTTAGTTCAGACTGTTATTTAACTTTGTAAGGTGCTTTCAAGTACAGACTGTTGTTTAACTTTGTAAGGTGCTTTCATGTAAAGTTTTTATTAAAATTGCTCTACAAAATAAAGCTGCATTTCATTGTATTATGGCAAATAAAAAAAAATGATGCATTGCATAACCAGCCAAATGCTGACACTATCTGTAGAACAAAAATAGCCCAGAAAGAAAAAGCTTAATAATGTCAAATGTGTTTGTATCATTATATAAAAGGAAGAAGTACTGTGTTTTCATTGTGCATCTAGGACACATGTTTACCAGTTTCAGTCATACTTCTGTAATTGTATTGTTCAAGAATGATGACAAGGAAATATTCAGCAAAATATATGTGCATGTTACATAGAGAATATACAGTATGATGTGTATTCACATACCTGTATATATTTAGCACACTTGCATTTTCAGAGTTTTAATTGTTAAATAAATGGTCAAGGGTTGATAAAGGCATTTTATGCCAAAGAGTTTGTCTTCTCTGATGTATTTTAACAAAGGAAACTTAATAATTTGACTCAGTAATATTTCTATTAGGGTAGCTTCATGAGATACATTCTTTGGGGTGTTTGTTTTGTTTTTGTTCTTCTCACCTCTCTTGTTTTGCTTCAAATCTAGTCCTAACTGCTTCAGGATTAAGGATTCTAACCCCAGATGAGAGTTTAAACACTCTTAAATGCTCTTCTCTGTACTTCCAACTAATGGTATTTGTCTGATATTGATGATGATAGATTTTAGATAATTCTTTGTACAGTGTTCTGGCATTAGATGTGAAGAGAGTTATGCACTGTAAACGCTCTGTGCATTAGGTGTTGCATTCTGGGACTCTGTTTCCATATTGGATTTGTTGACAATAGCATCTTCCTTTTGTAGAAAAAATATAAAAAAATCAAAGTAGTAATTATTCTGCTGTCTTTCAGTTCTATGAAAACTAGTGGAGTGAAAATCACACACAAAAAAATCACCCACACATAAAAAGGAATTAACTGTGGCCATATTCACTTTTATAAATTAGAAAGAATACAATTTCAGGAATTCTTGATTCTACACCAATAATTAAATTAAAAACAAAATTCCAGTGCTATCCCAGAAAAATAAAAACATATCTACTTAGCTTAAAGCTGATCACTGAGCAAATAACTCACAATGAAAAATGTACTTTGACTTTAACCCCTTTTTACATATTGCAATTGACTCAACTTTATTTTTAACATGAATATACTGGTCACATTCTTTCGCGTTTTTACGCTCTTTGGTCTGATTTCTAATAGTTGATGAGAATTCATTACTCGCTATCTAGAAGTCCCATTGCATCATTACTGTTCCCTTACAGGATAGATGTAAATCCTATAAATCAGTGATTCCCAACCTTTTTTTATACCGAGAACTGGCAAACCCATTCACTAACTTTTGGAGGACCAGTAACATTGTGTTTGCATATTTGCAAATACAATTATGCAAATAATGAATATGCAAATATACAAATAAAATGTTACCAGTCCACCAAAAGCCCCAGCCCCAAGAACCCCCCAGTTCCAGCCCTAACCCCTAGAGCCCCCCACCCCTCCACTACCCCTCAGCACCAGACACTGACCCCAGAATCCCCTGCACCCAAACCCCCAGGTGCCAGCTTCCCACCCTCTGAGCCTTGCAGTGCCAGTCCCAAATCCCAAAAAATTAAGTGCCAGCCCTTTCCCCTTTCAAGATCCCCTCATCAGGCCCCCCAGTGCCAGCCTTCTGTTTCCAGAGTCTCACTGCACCCAACCTCCACAGATTTCCCCCATTGCCATACTTCTATCCCAATATTAGCCCCATCACCAGAGCCAGTTCCAGCCCTGCCTCGGGAGGGCCCCCGCCACTACTAGCCCCACTCCCAGAGCCCCTCAGTGGTAGCTCCCCACCTCAGAATCCCCAGTGCCCCCCCAGTGTCACCACCCCACCTCTTAGAGGTCCCCCCACCCTAGAGCTTCCCAGCACTAGCCCTGCCCCCAGAACCTCCAGTGCCTGCCCTGCTGCCCTCACCTAGCCCTGTGCTGCCTCCCAGCTGCCATCTGAGCACTGCTGCCCAGGTCGTGGCTTCTCTAAGGCTGCCATGCTGGGCTCCACACAGCCCTCCTGCCATTCAGTGAAACACTCTTCCGCATCTGGGAAGAGATCCTGCCCTGCCCAGTACTAGTTGGCTGAGAGGCAGAGCAGGACACGCCTCTCCCAACATCCACGGCAGGAGGGGAAGCGCTGGGTGGTATATCCTAGCCCTGGCCCCCAGAGTCTCCACAGACTGGCAGCGGGCCAGGGACCAGAGGCTGGGAACCACGACTATAAATATTCACTAGAGAAGTTTGAAGAAGCATCTCAGGCTTTGACTCTCTCAGGGAATAGTAGTAATTTAGCCAGATGTATCAGATAAGCAGGGTGACTAAATTTGATAAAATATTAAACATTTTTCTTTCAGGCTCTCTCAGCCCGTCAGAGGAATCATTCCTAGAAAAAATAGACTATTTAAAAACATATTGGATGGATGTAGCCTTTAAATTTAATGTTCCAGTTGTATGCACACAAAGCCATTGCATGTTTATACATGAGGTCCTATTTGCGAAGTTTGAAGTGATGTCCTTTTTTGGTTCCTTTAGCTATCTGTGGATAAGATTTCTGCCATGAGAGTGGGAAACTTTCTCCCCCTGCTGTGTCAAACAGCCTCCTAACCCATGTAAGGTATTGCCATTTCCAACATGAGTAATCACAGAGAAAAGTTTAAAATTCATCCTGTGACCATTTGTGTAAGTAAAGCTCAATACCTTGAATGTCTGTGGAACAAGTACAGAATAATTGCTGTGGATAATTCCCTTTCCACCCTCTCAAAATAAATATTTGCTGGGTCAAATGTAGGTTCTGATTTATACTGAACTAGTCAGAAGTCGTCAGAGACCAACATGTGAAATGTTCATTGTTTCTTTTTGTGTTTGTTTTTCTCTCCCATAGGGTGGAGTTTTAGTATGGGGTCTGCCTACCAGTTTCACAGCTGGAGAGTATTTGTAATCGTCTGTGCACTACCCTGTGTCTGCTCCGTAGTAGCGCTCACTTTCATGCCCGAAAGTCCAAGGTTTCTGCTGGAGGTAAAAGTTGCAAAGTATTCTTTAAAATTCCCTGTTCCAGTCTACCGTACATCTGGGTCAGACATCCTCATAGAGCAGTGGTTCTCAAATTGTGGTCCATGGCCACCTTGCAGGTGGGCTGAGGCTACAGCTCCGTCCCCACTCCCTCTCCCTACAGCGGGGAGCCCATGCTGGTGCTTGCAGGCCCCTCCCTCCTAGACCGCTGGTGGGGAAGAAAGACCTGAGTCTCCCCACCAGACGTGGCTCATGGGGAAGAAGTGGAGCCAGAAGCAGCTCCACATGCTGCCGCTCGCCCTTTCCCTCCCCCAGCTGGAGGAACAGCCTGGGACATAATGCTGGGAGCAGAGGGGGATGCAAGATCAGGTCAGTGCCTGCCCTTCCTCTCATGCAAAGACCCCACACCTCCAATCCTCTCATGAACCTCCCCATCAAGATCCCACACCCCCAGCCTACTCTTGCATTCTCCCCCCTGGCCAGACACCTTACCTTCAGCCTGCTTTTGCACCCTCCCTTGCTCCTGCACCTTCCCACCTGGCCAGACACCCTGTTTCCAGCCTGCTTCTGCAACCAATCTCCCACCCACATCCTGCACCCCCATTCCTATCCCACTTACTGGCAGTTCCATCCCGCACACTGAACCCCACATTTTTGGCCCCAGGGTACACAAAATCCACTAAACCCAGAACCCCAGAAGAATTAATCTGGCCTATGGGAAGCCCTGAACCTGTCTTTCTCATGCCTCTCCCCCCTCACTCTGGGGCTGGAGCACCAGGGTGTCTCAGTTGGGGGCCATATCAGTAAGGGTTGGAAGAGGATGCTTCTCACTTGTGTGATCCTCGACTGCCATAAATAAAGGCAATGTTGAAACCTTTTGTGTTGGACATAAATTAATATTTTACTTTATTTAAAATTAAGTTTGGTAAATTAACAAGAGAAAATTAAAACTCTTAATCTGTTAAATAATTTTGATTCATATTTCCTTTCTTCCTGGTTAAATTAAACCGTTCTCCCTAGCTGCAGCACTAGCAAAATGGCTTGGGTGGAATTATGTAATTAATTATGAGTTTCCATTAGCAGCTGGTGATGTGTGAAAATATTTGCATTGAGCAGAGTGTCCACAGGCCAAAAAGTTTGAGAACCACTACCATAATATCACAAAAAAAATTTAAGAAGTAAAATATTAACATATTTTCCATAATTTGGTGACATTTTATAGGTTGGAAAACACGATGAAGCTTGGATGATTCTCAAGCAAATTCATGACACCAACATGCGAGCTCGTGGGCAACCTGAGAAAGTCTTCACAGTGAGTACTGATTTCTTAGAGCAGCATCTGTTCTTCTCTGAGCTGGGTCCTGAATGGTTTAACAATCAGTAAGTGCACTACACATACTTGTGGTACATCTAACTCAGGGTAAGGAAATTATTCTACAGCCCTGCCAGATAAACGAAATGACTAAGATTTTGAAGATACGTAAGGGATTTAGGTAGTCAGTTCCTTTTAACATTCATAACTATCAGGTGTCCAGATCTGCTTTGCAGCTTTGGAAACCTCAGCCAGTATATTGCAGGGAATGTGAATCAGTGATGTAACAATAAGGTCCATTGTATGGATATAACCAATTTTCTCCAGTTTTGTTGTTTTCTTAAGAACGCTGCTGTAAAGCCTTTTCCTGAATTAATGTGGATAACAATAAACATATGTAAAAGATAAGGTTACTGGATCTCTAACAGCTGCTCTTTATTCATGGAAAACTTTTCAAGTGAATTTTGATTTTTTGCTGCAAAAAGAATAAACTGTTCCACATCTTTGTGACCTCAAAGCATTTAATTATCTGATAACCTGCTGAGAAATCAATTATGATTGTTGCCTCTTTGGCCCGAGTGGTTACCAACATTCAGTGCCTTGTAGATTTGTTTCCATCTACAGGAGGAGAAGTGGATTATTTGAATCAGATATTTCTTTGGTGTAATCGTGTTTATTTACAAAGTATGTGTGCAAAGTCCTGTTTCTCTGAACACAGCAGAAACAAACCACAGATAGTTTCCTTGGTCGGAAATTCAAACCTGCCTCTCCAGCCAGTTCTGTGCCCCAAGGTCCTTCTTCTCTGCTCCTTCTCAGACTCATGCTCAAGATTATTCTTTTGCTTTCTGCTGGCTTTAATATCTGGACATCTTGACAAAAATCAGTCCCCTAGTCCCTACCTACAGTCAAACAGGAGAACCCCTCTAACTTCGTCATGTAACTGTGCTCAGCCTTTGCCATGCAGCCAATTGCCTTGGGTAGTAGCTTCTCTTGTCTCCAGCTGTCTTCATGTAGTTGCTTAGTTGCTCCTTCAGTTTAGCATAAAAGAATGGCATTTAGCGTGCCCATCAGCTTTAATCAGGTCAGTGACTCCCTATGGAACAAAGAGACACTTGATGGTGGCTATTATAATATTCCAGCACAATGTTGTTGTTATACCGACTAATACCCTAGTGTCCTTGTTAGATAAAGCAAATTGCCTAATGTTACATAGTGAGTGAGCAGTGAAGCTGAGTGACTTCTGCTCCAGTGAGCTAACTGCTGGAGAACATTCCCTCCTCCTACATTAATTATTGAAATAAAACACTGGAAAATGATCAAACTAAACTCCATGTGTTGTGTTCACGTGTTGTAAATAGTTTGCCAACTTTTAATATAATTAAACCTCCACTTTCCCATTATGTGGATGGGGACAAAACACTAGGAGAGTTGGGATTTTTCAGTGCTGCTGCTGCTGTGAGTAATGGGAAAACTTGACTTCTAATACCAAAGTATTAAAGGATTAGAAACATTGTGCTGTACGTCAGGGTTATGCCTTAATGAGGTCCCTAATGTAGGCTTGTGTTATTCTAATGCAATATTAACTTAATAGAATGCTAACACTATTAAAATGTTAACTTATCACAATTTCCTCATTGAATCTTATTAGCACCTTATCATGTTAGGCACACATGCAAAGAATGTATTGGTTATCAAAACCAGAATGAAAAAGAGATAAATGGAACCGGGGTGGGGAACACCTGTAGGCTTTGCCTACACTATGAGCCAGGGTGGGGTAGCCACTCTCACATTCCTAGAATAGCAGACATTCTGGTATTTCCTGGACTGATGTGACTCTACCTCTGTCAATGTGACCCTGCCATTGTATCCTCACACTCATTCTGGTAGGGGTGGAACGAACTGCACATTCTTCAAAATAGTGTCTCTGACCTAATACTGGAACAAACCACATCCAGTTTTGTCTCAGTACAGCCACTCAAAAAGAGAACTGTCAGGTTGAAAACCAAACAAATGGCCTGTGGACAGTTGAGTTGTGAGTCCCCTGCTTGTGTGCACATACTTATGCTAGCTAGCAAATACAAATAGCAGTGTAACCATAGTAGGAGAAATAGCAGCAGCAGAGGGTTGGCTTCACTGTGCTGTGTGTGCACCATTTCAGGTAGGTGTGTATTTGACATGGCTAAGCCATGTCTCAGCTGCCACTATGCATGCTCCCCTGTCTCTCCTGCTTTTTATACCCATGCCAACTTGATAGAACTTCAGAGCTACCACACCCCCAGCTTGTAGTGTAGACAAAGCCTTGATTTCAGGGTTTCCACAAAAGGGAGTTAGGCTTTTTCAATGGGATTTGGGCACCCACCTGCTCTTAGTACATTTGAAAATCTCCCCCTGTGAGTCCAAGAGGATTTAACAGTCACTACTGGCAATATGAGTGAGGAAGACTTAATATCCATTCTTAAAATCTATCCCAATTCAAAGTGTGAAATGTACCATGTGTGTAACTTTATTGAGCAACTGTGGTGTCTGGGATTAATGGTGGATCATGATGCTTCTGTTAGAAAAACCATTAATTTTAACATGGAAGGGACAAATCCTTCAGTCCTTAACTACCACTGTCTTCAAAATAGAAGCCAATGATTAAACCAAAGAGCACCAAGGAGAGTGGCCTGTCCTGGATGATCGGATCCCACTGTTCTCTATGGGCCATGTTAGGAACCAAGAATAGTTCATCGGTTGAAGCACTTGCTTTGTACTTAAGAGACTGGGGTTCAATTCCTGTGTGGCCTTGGGCAAGCCATGTAGTCTCTCTGTGCCTCAGTTCCCCCTCTTTTAAATGAGGACAATCATCTTCCCTACATCACGCAATGTTGTGAGGCTAAACACCCAGGAGGCACTCAGATACTTTATTAAAGGAGGGCACGCTAGTACCTAAATTAGAGTACCTAGATATCATGGGCATAGGCACTTTAGAAGCAGATGAAATTATGGAGAGAGGATAGTCTTCTCATAGTTAAAATTACCAGGATCTGTTGTTTCATTTTAAACACCCAGAATTCTGGTGATCAAAACTGATATGCCTGGTTATTAGAAGGCTAAAGAACTTTTCCACATAGGTTCAAGAAAATCAGTTCAACTATTTTTATACTTTTGAGCATTAAAAAATTACCTGGGTATGTCATTATGGCTTACCTAATATTTCTCTGTACAATATCCTTTTAAGTCAAAAAATGACTCATTAGTACTCTTCCTGTCGCACAGGCAAGAGAGCTTGTTGCTGTCTAATAACAAATATATTATTACAACAGCCTATGCTATTAATAGAACTCAATGGAATTACGCTAGTGTAAACTGATATAAATAAGTGGAGAATCAAGCCCATAGAGTTTTTTATGGGCAAATTTTGAAGGTGCAATTTGAGTCTATTTTTGGAAGTAGATGTGGGTGTCAAGGTGGTGCTTTGCACATTTTAGTTGCTACCATATTTATTTATTTAAAGGTATCAAGAAGTACCTATCTATCCCTCTATAAGATATGAAGAAGAGCTCTTTGAAGCTTGAAAGCTTGTCTCTTCCTCCAATAGAAGTTTATCCAATAAAGGATATTACTTCACCCACCTTTCCCCTCTCATATCCTGGGACAAATACAGCTACATCAAAACTGGAAATATTTATACCTCTAGGGCCATGATTCAGAATATAATTCACCACATGCCTAACTTCAAACATATGAGTGAGCCTCGCTGAAGTCCGCAGGACTATTCACATGCTTAAAATTTAAGTATGTATTTGCCTTCCTGAAGTAGGGCCTTTAAAAAAGCATACATTGAGTTGCCTTGGATCAATATCTTCCCAACCCACAACAGACAAAAATTCTTCTCCCTCGGGCAGATTGTATTTATGTTAATTTGAGCATTTTTTTTCTGGGTGAATTTTCCTTTATTAGACTGCTCAGCTGAATAAATACATGATTTTTTAATGTTTTCCTAGTTCAACATCCAAACAAGTTCCCCAGTGGCAAATAGGAGGAACCCAGGCCTGTCCACTACTCTAAGTGCCAGCCCAGGGACCCTTTGAATAACATGTCCCTTTAACTAAACCATGTTGCTGCTACAGTTCCCTGGCCACTTCCTCATAGCCCTAGCTATGTATGTCATTAGTTTGTAAAATGTAAGGCACCATGTACTGCTAATCATCTGTGTTATACAAAAGTTGCCTTTTCACTCAGATATTCTTCTTTTTTGTCTTTCCCATATTTAATTCCCTGGAAACTAGACTTGCTTCAAAATATTTTTTTCTACACCTACCCAAAAGAGAGTCTACTACTTAGAATAACTCCAGACATGCAGCTCTCTCACTATGTTCTTTTTTTTTCAGATAAAAGAATAAAATGACTGTTCAGATAACTTGTTAGTCTTGTTTCTTCAAATCTTTTTTATTTATTCAGCTGAGCAGTCTAATAATTTTAGAGAAAAAGGAAGGGATTGTGTTATTTCTTTCAGGATATTATCAGACTGTATTTTCTTGTTATTGTTAAGGAGCATCTTACGGTTCTATTAAGTGTGAAGTTAATACTACAAGAAAAAGTTCTCTAGCTCTAACCAAAATCATAGTTATCTACATTAGGATCATTTCTGTTTTGCTACCAGAATCTGAAAGGATCAGGATTTTGTGCAGCCAATCCAGCAGGCTCATTTGAAAGGAATTGAGGTGCATCGGTAAGGGCAATTGTTGCCTGGAGCTGAAGGAGAAAGGGTGTTGTTCCTGGCTGGATGAGGGAGCTGCAGGACTGCAAACCAAGCAGTTGCTGGAAGATGCCAAAGGAGAAGTTCAAACATGTCAGCCATACAACAAAGCCAAAAGTGCTGAGGCTATGAGGAAGTGGCCCAGGGAATTGTAGCAGCAACATGGTTTAGTTAAAGGGACATGTTGTTATTCAAAGGGACCCTGGGCTGGCACCTAGAGTAGTGGACAGGCCTAGGTTCCTCCCATTTGCCACTGGGGAAGTTGTTTGGATGTTGAACTAGGAAAACAGCCTCCAGAAGGGGACCTGAACTGTTCAGTAGCCAAGCTTGACCAGAGAGTCCCAGAGATTGTGAAGACGTTGCCTCCAGGGAGGGATCTCTGGGAGTATGGCTCAATACCAGGACTGCTTAAAGATCTGAATTACTGATGGACCTGAGCCTGGAATGGCTACAGGAAGAGAGAGGCCACCAAGGGATACTGGAATAGGCCCCCATTACAATTGTTTACCCCAGGATGGGTTTGTGTTTTATGTTCAGGCTGCATAAGACTTGAAGAGAGGGATCAGTTAGAGAGAGTGAGAAGACACATGCACAAGGCCCAGGGGGCAAATGCAAGAAATGAGTGACACCCTGTTACAACCTCTAAACAGGAAACATTTAAATAGTGCTGGTTGTAGTAAGACGAGGGCCTAACGCATAGGCCCTAGGTCTGTTATGAGGCCTGACCGACAATTGTCAAGACTCTGCTAATATAAAGCAAAATGAAGCTGTTAGCAAGAGACAGGGCCTGCTCACAGAACTTGGCACAAACAAGGCTGATAGTGCAGAAATGCTAACTGGTAGTAGGCACAGGCTGTACGCACATTCCAGACGGGTGGTGGTAACACCTCGTTAAGAAACATCTTGGTACCAATACACTCCCCACAGCTCACTGGGATATACCAACCCAGGTTCAGGACAGGGTCTAAAATGACATCAGGATGGACAGAGATGTTTTGACCAAACCACTGGTGCAAGACAATGGGTGGTATCTAGGTAATGTCAGAGAGTGGCAAGCTGATACATCAGGTAATGTCAGAGAGTGTAACTTTTTTGTACATGTGTGATGGGGCAGCGCCCGGCGCTCCCCTCACTCAGGCCAACTCTGGGACCCACCGGGAGAGCCCAGAGACAAGCAACGCCAGTGCGGCCGAAATGGCCAGCAAGGGACGGGAGGGGCAAACCCGGGTGCCGGCTGATGACGTCTCCGGCGTCCCCATGCCGTGGGTGGGGCCACTGGACGGTGGGGACGCAGCACAGGGGCGGAGCTACGGGCCGGCGGTGGGATATTCAAAAGGGGACCAGGAAGGTCCTCAGGGGGAAGGGCAGAGGCGGAAGAAGGAGACCGAGCCGGGTAAGGGCCTCCTCCAGACGTGGTCCAGGAGAGCGAACTAAGCTCCCCGAAGGAGGGGAAGAAGTGGCCCAGGGCGGGGCCGCGGAACCCGAGAACGGAGGGTTTGGGGTTGGCTACCCCCTCCGTTGAGTGCGGACGCTGACCTCACCTTAGGGCCCTGGGCTGGGGTCCGGAGCGAGGGTGGGCCCGGACCCCCTTCCACTCCCTCCTGGTGGCAAGTAGAGAGGGAACCAACAAATCATTCACTGTTTGCAGCATAGTTTCTACCGGGATAACTGGCGGCCGTGCAAGGGGCCTCGGGGTCCCATTACGCCCTGGGCGCCGGGCCTGCAACAGGAGGGGGACCCGTGACAACATGTGTATAAAGATGTGTTTCAGAGAGGCTGCCTTTGTCCAGCGTAGGGGGCAATAGAGAATCCTGCTATTGACTGAGTTGAGTGCATTGCCTGTGGGGGAGGCACATATGTATTAGCATCTGATCTGGGGGGCTCTTGACTGTGTTTCATTTGACAATAAACCTGGTTTGGGTGCCTTCTCCCTTATCTGATTTTGTGGTTTTTGGGGGCTCTCTCTCAGTCTGCTGTACTGACTACCTGCACAACATATAGAGGGAACACACACACACATATTCAAACAGTTATCTTTATTGGCCAGAGCAAGATACCTGTTGGGACACCAGACTGGTGACTTTTGACCACACTGGTAAAGAGTGCAGGTAAAATCACACTGACTATAACAATGATCTACTGCTTTGAAGCTTATGATGATCTACAGTTGGGTAGGTCATCTTCCATTTCTATATTCTAAAGCAGGGAAAACACCATCTTTACTGCAATCTCTGCACATTCATTTCGGATCTATCCAAACCAACCAATCTATCCAGCAGTCCACCTTTTTGAATCAGTTACAGCTATTCTATGCAAATGTTGTGAGACAGAGGCCTGTACACTAAGTTGTCCAAGGTTTAAAAAAAATAGACCTGTACTGTAAAAGAATATGAAAAGTTGGAGACCCATAGGTGGATCCAAATTGGATTGTGTACGTTAGATTTAAAAAGTTGGGACATTACCTCTTCAAAGCTCCTGGCAAAGTCACAGGTTGGCATAGCAATGAGTTGAAAGAAAAAGAATCACTGGCATATGCTTTTATTGGTTAATGTGGTGAAGCTGCTGCCTCTTCCTGGGCATAATATATCTCCAGAACACAAGTAAGCGGGGATGGGGGAAATAAGATACACTTCACCAGGGCCGAGTCTGGCCTAAGGGGCCCAGCCAGAGGGCCACAAATCCATCACCAGGAAGAGAAATTCAGACTCAGTTGTGGATGTTTGAATTTGATTAAATGTCATTTAGTCAAACTCAATCTCAGTGATCACATTTGTCATCAAAAACTGAAGATGATCTACAATGGCACAGGAACACACAAGTCATCTTGCTCTTTTGCCTGTGGAATGTGAATTCGTAGGAAAACATCGACTTTCGTGAGGTCTTTTGTGCTTGGAAACCTATGCCATTTCAAAACAAATGTACATTTTTCTTTCCGTAGTGTCTATGTGGATGAGATGGGAATCCATGATAGGAATTTATCCTGACCTCAGCAAAATATTGCTAAGTGGGTGAATTGAAAGGAGCAAGGTTTACCATCATGGCCACCACCCACTCTATTCCCGGAGACAATGTTATCTATCAGGATATCACTGGGCCTTTGTTGGCCTAATCCTGAAAAGCATGCAAATTATATTGAGCTTGCAAATAGGATATTTATAGTTGTAAATTTCCTGTTAGATTTTCAGGACAGACGTGTGAAATCTTAACCCCAACTGTCTGCCCATCTTTAGCTTGTGGAGTTTATTTACACTTTCAAGGGACCTTTACTTGCATTTTAACTGTTCAAGAAAACACAAACACTTGTTGCTCTGTTTCTATTTACAGGTTAACAGAATCAAAACCCCCAAACAGATAGATGAGCTTATAGAAATTCAGAGTGACACAGGAACCTGGTACAGAAGGTGTTTTGTTAGAATCCGCACAGAGCTGTATGGGGTAAGTAATAAAATCCAAGTGTATGTGGTAATAAGTGAGCTATCATTAGTGCCCAGAAATGGGAATGTACTAGAGTATAGCTGACTATTACCTCTGGCTTCAGAACAATCACAAAATTCCAGTTTCACAGTCCAGTGGGAGAGAACTGAGCATTGTAGAAAATGATGGATCCATTCTTTAGACAGAAAAGGGCAGCCTAGGCCCTTATGCGTCATTCCTAACAATAATATGGCTCTATGTCTCAATCATGGTTTAAATATATACTGGAAAAACCAGTGTGAGATTGGGTGAGAGGGAACACAGGATGATGGAATGGTTCTATCTGTATGAGGTTTGGGGTGGCCACATCCTTTACAGATAGCAAAGCCATGAATAAGTTATGCAGGTCATCCAAAATGAATGCCAATAAAATCTTTATAAGTTACTATGCAGTCATGTATTCAGCATTTACCAAATATTTTACAGGAAAACTTAGAACTGTTTTATAGTGTTTCATAAACGCTAACTGGGCCTGTTTTCAATATCTTACCTGTAAAGCCAAGATAATTTACTTTGAATCCTAGAGTACAGACCTTGAAAAGAGAGAAAAATTATCAGTAACTCATTTGCAAGCCACTAAAAATGATCTAAAATAGCTTTCCCACAGGTAATAATGTCACAATGATAAATGTGTATGCTGAAATATGTATGCTACAGTTGGCCAAAAATGTTTAATCAAAATGGTTTTTCCATGGAAAATTGGGTTTTTGACTAAATTATTTGCAAAAAGTATCTGTTCTTTCTCTCTATGTGTGTCTGTTTTAAGTAAAAGAAACAAAAATAAGCAGACAGAATCTGTAATATTTTGTCAGAAAACAGAAATATTTCTGTTTAGATTAGATATCCTACAACAATGCCTCATGGAAGTTGTAGTTCATTTGCCTCGCGTCTCCTTTCTCTGTGTCCTCTTGATTGTACAACATCTCCTATGATGTACAATGGCCAGGAAATTCCTTTCTTCTTCAGGAGGGAAAATAGTGGTGAATCCTAGGAGATGTCATGGACAACCCCATTTTCCAACCAGCTCTATTGTAAAACTTCTGAAATGAGGACAGTCCCAGCTCATTCCCATTTGTATAAAGGACCCATTTCTAGATGTGATGGGACATGACATACCAGATTTTAAAACTGTCACTATTTTAGGGTGGAATATAGCCTGTCATCCACTTAGAACAGTGTAATATTGGCAGGAAAGATGGAAATATTTCTGACTGTTTTGTTTGTTTTGGCCAGTGTTTGTTTGAATCTGCATAGGGCTTCATAGTGAATCCAGTGCAGAAGAGGCCATCAAATGTGCATAAATGGAGTATGGCAATATCAAAACCTGCTTTTACCCGCACCAGTGTGCGAGTCTGGCCTGAGAATCAAAGAGCTGCAATGCGATGCCCCTTGCTTTCGGCTGCACTGATGAAGCAGAGAACAGAATCCAGGCATCTATTGCTTAATTTATTTGTCTAAAACACTTGTTTATTTTTAAACTTATGTTCTCATATTTTACAGATATGGTTAACATTTATGAGATGTTTCAACTATCCAGTCAAGGACAACACAATCAAACTTACAGCTGTATGGTTCACACTGTCTTTTGGGTAGGATTGACTTGGATTCTTGGTGAATTTTCCATGGTTAGCCTGTATATCTTGAAATATAGATGAATTTTATGCTGACAGTCATGCTGGATTCAAATCTGCTTTGTCATTGCAGTGTTCTTTTCTCATTAACTATACTTATGCAATTACCTTTGAAATAAAACATCATATTTGGGAGATATTCCATTTTTGGTTCACCACCTGGCACCTTAAAGATCTCAGATTTTCAGAGAGTTGGTGCCCTTTGAAAGTCAGGGTTCTACAAGGTATTGAGGTGTGTGACTGAAAACTCTGGAACTCCAATTCACTTGTCACTTCTGAATATTTAGGCCCAGCATGCTCTCTTTTGGAATAAAAAGAGATTTCCTGTGAGAGGGGAAAAAAGCAATTAAGGATCAGAGTTTGTATAACACTTGTGTTGTTATTATTATGGCTTATTGTTCCATGCATATGTTTCAATGGTAAACAGATGCTGCAGTAATTCACTTATTTGTTTCCTTATTAACCTAATGACTGTCATTCTATATAGATTTAAATTGAGCTTTCAGAAAATGAATTTTTCTTGTATTTTAATAATAATTCATTATTGTTGTGATACATTTATCCTCATTGAAGTTCACTGAGGAACTGGAGAGTTAAACTCATTTTTTTAATTCTTCAACTCTTCTCCGCCTCCATAAAATGCTCTACCCTGCCCCTACCTCAGGATCCCTTCTACAGCAGCATCTCCTTGTCTCTCTTGCAACTTCCCATCATACAAAGTACCCCAGCCTCTCATCCACTCCAGCTTCCAGCCCATTGTCCCCTGTTTTCAGATAAGATTTTTGAGAACACATTGCTAGAGTAAGAGATACAGCACCTTACTTAGGTTTTGGAATTTCCATAGCAATCCTATTTCTCTCTGCTCTCAGGATAAGCCAGCAAATGTTCAGACCATTGCAATTAATATGCAATGTAAATTTGCTGGGGTCCAAACCCTAAGTAATAAGTTTAAACTTCACATTCACATTCACTATAGTGAAGAGAGCTTGGCCATGATCTTCCAGCCACTTAAAGTCTGCACTGGGACTGCACAGCATGAGTTACTGACAGAACATCTGCACTTGGGATCTCCAGCCTCCCTGCTTCCCGCTGGTGGTGTTTCTGCTGGGTGTTTATGCATAGTCTGACACAGCATAAGTCAAAGCAGGGATTTGTAAACACATAGTTCCAATGGCCCTAACAATCTTGGAAGCTCAACAGGCTAACCTAGTATCTGTAAGGGCCTAGAGGCCTATGATGCAGCCATGAGCTCTGATCCTGATCTCTGACCCTCTTTATATGTGTAAGACCCCACTATTTTGGCTTTATACACGCAAAATGCATTTTATCCTAAAAGCATTACCATGCTTGATATTCAAAAATCTAAAATTCAGGTAGAAGTAGAACTATTTATGTGGATAAAGTTATCTGCTTTAAGTAGTCAGATGCTGTAGGGTGTCTTCTAGTTTGTACATACTTCTGAAGTTATGATGAGCTTTGTGACTGAACACTTCTGCTTTTCACAGCTACTATGGGTTGTCTGTCTGGTTCCCTGATGTCATTAAACATCTGCAATCGGACGAATATGCATCCAAAGTGAAGCGTTTTAACGGAGAGAGAATTTCAGATTTCAGCTTCAATTTCACATTGGAAAATCAGATTCACACCAATGGAACATATATCAATGACAGGTTGACAGATTTTGGTTAAGAAAATATTGTTAATGTCACTAACATTTCAAGCTTCTGCCTAGAGGCCTGTCTGTGTAGTAAAAAGTATTCTGACAGGTTGAGCTCTATATGATTATAAGGTTCCATGTAAGTGGGTCCCTTTTGCTGGATTGAGGCTTTCGGTTTTTTGGAGAGACCAGATTAGAGGATCCACATAATTGGTACTTACTTTCACCATGAAACTCAGATTTTCACATGCAATGTGTGTGGCATATGAAGTGAAGGAGATGTAATTTTCGTGTCTAATGGCGGGAGAAAGGGTGGGGTTTTTGGTTCCTTTCTACATTTTTCTTCTTTCCTGATACTCATTTAGGATCCCTTCTGACAAAATGTTGCGCTTCAAAAACACTGAGCATCTTACATAGAGCAAAAAATAGCTGAAAAGGCATTTGGTAGAAAGTATGAACTGTTGTAAAAAGTAAAAACGCACATGAGCAATGTGCTTTTATTTTTTAAATTGAGTCTAGAAATCTGAAGGCACTAGTTAGAATTTTACAGAGCACAATTCTAAATGGCTTACTTATGTAAAGACATCAAAGAAACACAATTATGTTTAATCACTCTATGGTCACAGAGTTGTTTTAAGTGTCTGGTCTCTGTCTACAATACATATGTATACAATATAAACTATATTAAGGTTCTAAGCCTTGTGGTACTAAATAATTGTTTTTATATAATACAATTACATTTAAGTTTGTAACATTAATGGTTTTGATAATATAAGAAGGCTTCTTGTTGAATAACAATTTGAATTTAGAAGCAATTAAAGTTTTGTTCAGTGCAGAGCAATTGATATTTATGACTAGCCTACTTCATTTGAATTAGCATCTGCCTTCCGAATTTAGTTCTATTTCATGAGCTGGACACTGCCTTGTTCAGTAAATTTCATTTATTGTGCCATCTGCGGGGCTAGGTACTGCAGATCATGTCCAAATAAAAGTACTTGTAAAATATAACTGAGGCTCTCAAATCTGCCTTGAACCTAGCAAGTATGCAGACTTTGATATGTGAAAGTTGTGAACTGCTTGGGTCCCCTTTAAACAATCGAGACAATTTTTTAAACGGGAGAGCCAAATACGGCGGTGTTGTGAAAAAGGATAATGGGTTAACACTGAATTCCAGTCAGATTATAATCAGTCTGTGTCAGATGAAAAAAGGTACTGTAGTCAATCAATGACTAGACTGAAAGTAACATTTTCCTGTTCATCAGAGAAATGATTAGTAGAGAAATCATTAGTTAGTAACCTATAACAATCAAAATAGAATTTTGGGCCACCTTTTTCCATAAACTATGTGATTCTCAACATTTTATTTGTGAGTCAGTTTAATTCCTACCATTTTTATTGACCATACAATAAATTTGTTTGATGGTCTTCCACCCTTCACTCCTACCCCCAAAAAGAACATTGCTCTTTGACCTAAAATTTTAAAATGTTCTTGGTGTATGAAATGAGAAGTTTGTGTAATAGACATTTAGCTAAACAAAGACTTATTAGGGTTTGTTGGCATATTATGCTGTTTCAACTATACTAGCAAAGGGATCCTAAGGTGGATGCAGGAAAAATTGTGTTTTTGTCAGTGGTGCTCATTCTGGCCCCCAAAAAGTTATATGCCAAAAGTACATCTAGACTAGTAGCTTTTGCCAGCCCAGCTATGTTGGTCTCAAATCACACCTCATCACATCCTTGATCAAAATAGCCATAGCTATGTTGGCAAAAAGTTAGTTGTGTAGACTTAGCCTAAGAATATTGAGACACAGGTTTTTATTATAATTATGATTATCTAATAGGTTTCTTTCACTTTTTGAATTAATTAAATAAAAGGTCAAAAAGCTATGGTGTTAGTTATGAGTGTCAGTAACAAGGAGGGGCCAGAAAGCAAAAAGTCCTAGGAACAAGAATAAAGCAGTTTTAGAATAGCGTGAATAAAAATGCATATTTATAATTCTATGCACAGTCATTGGAATTGCACATGCAGTCAAAAGTAGCAGCACAAAGATTTCCATGTAACTGTCTAGCAGGTCATCTACACATGCAATATTTGTGACTGTGTCCCAAAATTTGTGAGTGACCGTGTTGGGTTTTTTTTAATGTAGGCCAAAATGTGTTTGAGCCTGGTCTGGTGGAGAAGGTTTTGTCTGGCTGTAGAAATATATATTTTTTTAATTAAAAAAGGTCTGTTAGCATCTCTACTACTTGTTTATTTCAAGTCAGATTTCTGGAGCCTTAACAAAGAAGACTATTTAACACTGCTTGTATATTACATCAGAGTGCTAAAGTTCTTTAGATATTGGCTAGAGATTAGTGATAACTGCAAGATTTTTAACCTTGTATTAACTGTGAAAAAGATAATTGCATCCTTATGTACATCCAGCAGCTGTGTTGGAATGTCATTAAGTGAAAGCAATATATTCAACAATGGTGTCATAGCATCAGTCAATCAACCATTCTGACACTAGAGCATCTTTCTGGGAAGCACTATGTTTGTGGGGGTGGGAGTTCTGAGAATCGCATCCATGTAAGACTGCACAGCTGAATCAGCTGTGTCTGCCTCTGGTCATGATGCATGGAGACAGACTGATGAAAATTATTTGTATTGGGCAGGTTTATTATGATGAAGTTTAAATCAGTTACTTTTGAAGACTCCCTTTTTAAGAATTGCTTATTTGAAGATGTTACTTCACTGAGCACGTACTTCAGGAACTGTACTTTTATAGACACCAACTTTTCCAACACAGGTATGCTGAAAGGAAAATCATATTTCTGTCCAACTATCATGGTCTTATTTCACAAAGCCTGCTTGACAGTGGTATGATAGCTGTAAAGGAAACAGATGTCAGTGATATAATACAAGACAGAATCTCCAGCACCAGGCAGAGCAGGAATCTTAGAACATTCAGAAACTTTTCTGTGGTTTTGACTAGATGTTGACTGCCCTGTGCTGATTGGCTCTTTGCTGCAGCCCTCTTCCTCCCTTTGTCACACAGTCTCTTCGCCATAGCTGCCCGTTACCCTCTTCTCTCCTGCCCTGCCCTCCTCACCTCTCTTCCCTTCAAGGTGTCCTTTCCCCATCCTTTTTCTTTCCATTTAACAGAGCCCCTCCTAACTAAACCCATTTTTTTAAAAAGTGGGCACTAATGTGACATTTGCTGTTGCATTAGTACACGGTCTGCTGGGTGTTTAAACCTCTTTTCTCACCCTGTGTCTTGTCTCGCTGGACTGCAAGCTCTTCCAGGAAGGGACTGTTTATTGCTGTGTTTGTACAGTACCTAGCACAATTGGACCTCACTCTTGGTTGGTCCTTAGGCAGTACCATAATAAACATGCTTATTAATAATAATAAAAATAAAGGAGCATAGCTTTTTACAAAGATTACAGGAAATGAATTTGTCACTTTTAAAATGGTTTAATTATCTCTGTGAAGTTTCAGAATGCATAGAAGAAAGTGTATTTATCTGTAGGCTGATTGTTTTAGTTAAACTTATATTTGATTTGGTTGAATGGGAGCTTTACAAATATCAGTGTCAGAGCTGTCCCCTCTATATAATAGTGATATGGAATATACTACCACATTTGGGGGGAAGGGATCTGAGTTCATGAATCATACACATTCTTTCTCTCTTCTCCCATGTTACCTATGCCAATAAAGGGTGGAAGTATTGCAGAGACAATGGGACATGGCCTGATTTTATTTATATAGTTGTAAATCCAGAGTAGCTCCATTTTGTTCTGTGGAATCCATTGTAAATAAGATGAAAATCTGGTTCATTGAGCCTAATATTTGGGATATATAGTAGCTCTTATTGCTCTCCACCAAGGCCATCTTGCAAGCCATGTTGCTAGGCTTCAGAGGTTAAAAATGAACAGTCCCCTTTGCCTGAAGGGAAGGTCTCCATGACTTGAGGCTGACAAGAGTTAGAGGAGCAAAAGGGAAAATGCAGGGTGTGACACTCCAGAAGGAGTGTGAAGGATACTGGGGGGAAACTGTCTACATGTAATAGTTTATTTGATTCCTGGTTCAAAATGTAACAACTAGAAATGCTTTAAACCTCTGGAGAGCCATGCTCAAATCCTAAAATGGTTCAGGGGTAGTATTGAGGGTCCTGGAAATAAATGGCTATGTGGGACAACAAGGTGGAGCTGCCACTGATGCTCTGGCCTCATTTGTGTCTCACTAAAAAGAAAACAAATAAAACCCCCACATCAGGCTGTTTGCAGAGCTGCCACTTAAGGTTTCTCTACACAGGGTGTGTCTCTACCAGAGGGGTGTTATTTGGAAAGTGTGGTAACTACCATGAGTAGACCATGCTGACATGCTCTAAAAGGTCCATATTAATGCTGTGTTTGGATCCGTGCACACAAGGTGCCTTTCAGAGCAGGGTCTGCATGATGTAATGATAGCGCCCTCCAGTTTTATACCTCTCTAGAAGCATTGCTGCCCTGTGTAGACAAGCCCTTAGAAAAATTATGTTTTATTAAGAGATGAGCTAATTGCTTCTCAGTGATTCCAGATCATTTTTGCAATCACTTTTTTAGATTAGAACAGCAGTTGAAAGCTAAAATCTCATCTGAGTTTCCTGTGCACACTTGTCCTCACCACAAACCCACTGAAAGGTGATGTGCTTGACAGTGTCTGTTCAGTTGAGGCCCAGGTCTGTAGCTGAATATGACTGAGGAATATCGACAATGCTAGGTGTTGGAAGTTTGCAAATCTCTACTAGGCTGGGTGGTAGGCTGTAGTACTAGCCGCCAGTTAAGTAAAGCATGTATGGAACTTTAAGCCACAGTTTATGTGCTTAGGTAGATCAGTGCCACCATAGTATCTTATTTTCATGAGCTCTAAACTCATCTGGAGAATGTTTACTATGAGCGAGGGGGGCCACAAACTAACAACAGAGACTAGCCACATTATACTAAGCAAAGCAGTGTATATGTGCAAGCTCCTATTTGTCAATAAGACTGTCTAATATTGGGATGTTTAAAAGCATATGCTCTAGCTGGGATATGAGTTATCTGATATTGTTTTAGCTGATGCTTCCCCTTGTTTCCACAGATTTCAAGCAATATAAATTCATTGACAGTGAATTTATAAACAGCCCATTTAAGCACAACAAGATAGGATGTCAGATTACCTTTGATGATGACTACAGTGCCTATTGGATTTATTTTGTTAATTTCCTGGGAACTTTGGCTGTGTTACCAGGGAATATTGTATCTGCTCTTCTGATGGACAGAATTGGACGTTTAACAATGCTAGGTATGGGCTTTGCCAAAAGCCTAAAAAATATTTAAAGCAGTTTACATAATACAAAGTTTGCTGTTCACAAAGGCAAGAACAACTCTCTTCCAGGGACATTTTCATTAGTGCCTAATCCTCTACATCTATAAAAATACCACCCTCATATTAGGTTTGGAAATTAACAGATAAGGAGCACGGCCAGTTCTCCACTGACATGTATTTGTTCGTCACTTGGTATTACCATCTCGTAAAATAAATATACTATTTTAAGCACTTGTTGTGGGATTTTAAAAAGTGCTTAGCATTGGCTTGCTCCCATTCAAGGGTACCTCAGCTGGTGGCATAGGCCATTTAGCGAATGTAGTAAAAATTAGAAAATATAGACTGGTTTCTGTTTTGGGACAATAGTGGAGGGTTGATGTCTTCCCTTTATAATGACACATTTATGCTAATTTTAATTAAATAACAAAATAATTGATTGTGTTGATTTTCTGTGAGCAGCGTCTTTTATAAAGAATGAGTCATCTAAAATGAATCTTGTTAGTTTAAGATGATACATAAATGCCTTCCTTGTAATTGCAAGACATGGTCCCTACTAATAGTTGCCATAGAAAATAAGATCTGTATTAGAATTTAGTTTTAAATTCAAATGTGCAGTTCAGTTATTTAAACTATCCAGTGTGTAAAGGCTACTGTTATGCAAAATAAATAAGATTATAAATATTATTATTCTGTAAAAACAATTATTGTTATTTTTTGTCTGCCTTGGATATAGGTGGTTCTATGGTCCTCTCTGGAATTAGCTGTTTTTTCTTGTGGTTTGGTACCAGTGAATCCATGATGATAGGCATGCTGTGTTTGTACAACGGCCTCACCATCTCAGCATGGAATTCCCTTGATGTCATTACTGTGGAACTGTACCCTACAGACAGAAGGTACATGAAACATAATTGTTAATTCTCCTGGTTCCATTGCAAAACATAGTCAAAGACTTGACAATGTAGCAGTGTGCTAGTCTTCCACTCCTTGTTTGTCTTGCCAAGAGAGGAAGAAAAGAATCTAGATTCTGAATGGCTTGGGATTGAAAATAGTTTGAGACAGATATATTCTCTATGGATGTGAAAATGTAAATCCAAATTCTGTTGTTATTTAGACCAGTGTTTCTTAAATATTTTGAGACCACGGAACATCAAACAATATTTTTTTATGCAGAACACCTATGCAAATTTTCTTCAAAAAAAATTGTCAGACAAAAAAAGACAAAAATAAAGAAGTAACAAAACAAGAGGTCACGGCACACCTGCGAGTTGTTCATGGAATACCAGTGTTCTGCAGAACATAGTTTAAGAAACATTGATTTAGACTGTGTTCATCTGTAGTGATTCTGCTAAATTCAGTGGAGTGATTCTGGATTTACAATAGTGTAACGAAGGGCAGAATTTGGTCCAAAGTATAGTTGTTAATTGACTTTGAAATAATGTGGAGACTATAATAGAATCACTGGCACAGGGATTTGATAGTATTTTTGAGAGGACTAATGGGTTTCGGTCAAGTACGAACTATTAATCAGTCCAGTGAGGATTTGTATGAAGGGTCAGCAGGTATCTATCTACATGATCTCATTAACCAGCTACAGAGAGGCCTCTGAGCACTGCTTCTGACCTTTCCAGGTTCCTGAAGGGGCCTCAGGACACTTCCATTTTCTGTAAGAAAGTTTCTAATTTAACACTGAGATTGGAGCCCTAGATGATTGGTTAATGTCAGCAAAGGGATTAGAAGGACAAGTATGTATAAGATGTTGTTGATCAAGAGTAAAACTGTGTAGTTGGACTCCTGTTTTATTTAGAAGATCTGAAAACAGACTGTTTATTTTCTCCCTTTTATTCTGAAAAAAATGCTTCTGATGGAATCCCTTCTCATGCGGGTCTATGGATTTTGCTGCATCCTATTGTAATCACTCACATGTTTATCTGGAGATTGTTTTCATTGTTGTTTAACATCAGGTTGTTGTTGACTTTTCTGGGCATTGTCCTTCCCTGGTTTTGGGAAGTGACTGGTAACACAGGGACCACTGGCCATGTGATCTCTCCCCCAGCCAGAACAACTCCCTGCCACTCCAGGTCCTGCCTCTCCCCATCCCTGTTCCACCCTTTCCCCTCTAGATGGACTATACCACCACAATGTATTACATTAGCAGGCAGGGTAGAGCCTGGTGGCCATGCACCTGCCCAAGAGTTCAGGAGCTGCCCTAGACGAGCTGCCAGCAACTGGCACCCTAGGCGAAATGCACAATCAGCGCCCCTGCCTCCAAAACCCTCCACGATTGTTTATCTTGGCACCCTAAAGGACCACCTAGTTCGCCTGTATTGACAGGCCGCCGCTGCCCAAGACCATGAACCTATTAGCAGATCACCTCAGCAGGACTTTCTCATCTCGCCACAAATGGTCACTCCATTCAGAACCAATCAGTAGAATCTTCCAGAAGTGAGGGAGTCCCCAGACGGACCTGTTTGCATCCAGGCAGAATGAGAAATGTCATGTGCTCTGTTCAGTCAGGAGGATAGACAGGGTCTCCCTATCAAACACATTTCTGCTCCCATGGCCGGGGGCCCTGCTGTATTCCTCTCTGCTGGGGCCATAGGTTCACAGAGTTCTTCTGAAGCTCAAAGAGAACTGGGCAAAGGTTTTCCTCATGGCCCCCATGTAGCCTCACAAGCACTGGTTCAGCACACTGCTGGACCTTTAAGAAGCTGACCCATTGCACCTACCTGTGGCCAGATCTGCTGTTTGAAATCCACAGCAATCTTCTGCACCCAAATATGGCAGTGCTACACTTGACAGCATGGCTATTGCATGTTTAAACATGGACTAATGGGAATGCTTGGCCTGGGTTCAGCTGGTCTTGTTGGATAGCAGAAAACCCGCCAACAGAGCAGCTTACCTGGCCAAGTGGAAAACTGACCCCAAGCTTGGCTTTGAAACAGCATATCTGGGCTAATCAGGCCACACTGTAGGTGATTCTGGATTACTGTCTGCACCTCAAACTCCCACGCTGGTCCCTGTCATTGATCAAGGCACACCTGGTCGTTATTTCAGCTTTCCACCTTCCATTCTAAGGCAGACAGTTCTTTGCTCAGAATGTTACAGCCTGTTTTGTGAAAGGTCTGGTCTGGAGCACTTCCACCTGCACGTCCAGGATCCCTCCCTGGGACCTGCATCTCATGCTGTCGAGGCTCGCGGGGCTTTCCTTCTAGTCCCTGGCTTCCTGCTTTCTCCTGTTTCTCACCCGGAAGGTTTTTTCCATTGTGGTTAAATCAGCCTGCAGGGTGTTTGAAATCAGGGCACTTATTCAAAACTGCCCTATATGGTGTTCTACAAGGATAAAGTTCACTTGCAACCACACTTGGCATTTTGGATCAAAATAGATTCCCTTGGACATCAGATGAAGAATGTACTCTGCATGCCCTGGATGTCAGTACACTGGCCTTCTATGTAGATAGGGAAAAGTCAAAGTTACATCTAATTTTTCCTATCCCATGTGAAATGAATTTTGTTATGGTACCAACGTGGAGGTGATCAGTATTCTCTGTTAGCTGTGTGCTCAGGCAACCACCCAGGAGAGAGTTGGGTGCTCCCTAGCTGATTAGCAGAGTGCCCACAGCCAGCAGCACGTTTTTTTGTTGGTGGTGCACATCTGCACATGCCCTGGTATTTACAACAAAATTTGATACTGTGTCAGGTAGATTGAAGTGTTCTCCTACAGGTTTTTGTATATTGCCATTCCTAATATACAAACAGTAGCAGATTTAAAGGTAGCCATCCTGCAGCAAAAAAACTTCAAGACCAGATTTCAAAGAGAAACTACAGTGACACATACAGTTCATCTGCAAATTTGACACCATCAGTTTAGGATTAAACAAAGACTGTGAATGGCTAGCCAAGTACAAAAGCAGTTTCTCCTCTCTTGGTGTTCACACCTCCAGATCAGCTGCTAGAAGTGAGCCTCACCCTCCCTGACTGAATTAACCTCGTTATCTCTAGCCTTATTCTGGCCTGCATATTTATACCTGCCTCTGGAAATTTCTACTACATGCATCTGATGAAGTGGGTCTTTGCCCACAAAAGCTTATGCTCCAGCACTTCTGTTAGTCTATAGGGTGCCACAGGACTCCTTGTCGCTTTTGCAGATCCAGACTAACACAGATTCCCCTCTGATACCTGAGTGTGAGAGAGGCTCAGGCCTGGTGCAGTGCAGTGGGGTGTGAGGACTCTGGTTGGAGATGTGAGCTCTGGGGTGGAGCTGGGTTGAGGGCTAGGGAAGAAAAAGGTTATTGCAAGGAGAGAGGACCCTCCCCACAGCAGCAACTGGGCAGTGGGGGAAAGGCACCTCTCCACACTACCGCAGCTTCAGGGCTGGGACTGCAGGAGAGGTGCCCTTCCATGGCCCTGTCAAGTTCAAGCCAGGTCTGGGTTGGATCTGGAGGGGGCCACCCTGGCTGCAGCTGGGTTCATGCCATGGTAGGTGCAGTCCACCCTGGCCATGGCTGTGTTCCAGCTGCAGTTCCATTCTGGCCATAATAGGTCTGGGCCAGCACTGGGTTCACCCCTCCCCAGGACATGGCAGTTTGGAGGTGGGCTCAGGTAGGGATGGCTCTCCCACAGTTGCAGCAGGTCCCCAGGCAGGTTCCTGGAGTGCCTCTATGGTACTAAATGGGCAGCTGCCCAGCCATGCAGTTACACAGCTTACAACTGTGCACTACTTTTGCTGATGTTTCTCTGCCTGTAGGGGAGGTCAGTAACTAGCAATAAAGCAAATCAAGGTGTAGTTGGAGAGTGGGCTAGAAAAAAGCAGGTGTTTTCCAGCTGTGGGAAGTGAGGCTTAACATAGGCAAGTGACCCATCCTGAGAACCCCTCCCTTCTTCCAATTCAGCTCCCAAACAGGTCTTCGAAGCTGACTGGACCACACACACCTGGAGATTTGCCAATGTCATGAGGGCTAATAGTATACATATTTCATGAATTGTACTGCAAGTAATGTATGTAACATATTGTCTCTTTACCATTTGGGTAAATGTGAATTTTGAACATAATCAATGTACAGTGACACATTCAGTTTTTCCCTGTCTTCATGTAACTGCATGATAGAGTTTGGGTAGTTTCAGTAACAAACTGCATTTCTGACCCTTTATACATTTAGATCTTTTTTTTAAGAGTAACCTTAACTGAGAGTTTCCTACATTTTCTAATGCTTGGGTTTGGGATAATTACACTATTGCTTTAATGTTGTTTGCCCTAATGACTGCTATGTATATAACTCCATCTTCATGCTTGTTTTCTGAACATACACTATAAATCTTCATCAGAGCTGCTCCACTGCAGATATGAGACTACATAGAGCAGTGTTTCCCAATTTTATTCGGCCACGGAACCCTTTCAAACTTGAAAGAATTTCGCGGAACCCCTAGTAATAGTCTTATATATGGAGCAGGATGTCAGAGCAAGCTGGGAATGCGGGGTCTTGGCAGTGGGAGGGGAGTGAGTGAGAGGGATTTGGGTGTGGGGTTTGGGCATGAGTGGGGATGCTTACCTTGCTTTGCACCCTGCTGCAGAAGAGAGAGCCTCCAAGCAGCACGTTCTTGTTCCCCCAGCAGGAGGGCGGAAGCAGGAGCTCAGTCCCCCTCCCATGCAGCGGGGATCTCAGCGCAGCTACAGCACCATTTCAGGCTTCCCACTGGCAGAGCTGGAAGGTGTAGAAACCCTGACCTTCCCTGCCAGACCAGACTCTGCCACTTTTCCAGTAGGAGAGGGATGGGGAGGAGCGCGAGGAAGAGAGAGCGGCAGTGCGGGGAGAGGGAGCGGCGAGCCCAAGCGCGCCCCGGTGAGGGGGATAGAGCCCCAGCCAAGTTCTGTGCAGCCCCTGCTGAGGCACAGGCG